ACAGGATTATGACATACACCTCTTCTACTTTAAGCTGTAGAGATTTGGGAATTGTTTGAGCAATACTGAGGCTGTTACTGATCGATACACTCTCCAGGTTGAACCGTTCTTCGTAGCATGCTTTCTGGAAAACTCATAGAAATTTAGTACATTCTTATATTTGTTGAAAGAATGGATGGCTTTCTCCTGACCAAACCCAATAGTTTAACGTAAAATAGTACCTAGATCTGCCGCTCCCAGCTCAGTGATCCCTGCTAGACGACCCCCTTTTGATCGGACTTGCACCGTGATTCCTTCTCTGCTTGGCCTCCTACTTTGCTTTGACTTTGTCTCCCGCATGGACCCCCACATTCTCCCTCCCCTCCCCTGTGTTCCTATTTCTCTCTCTTCTCCCTCTCACCAGGAGCTGTTTGAAACCCACGTGAACGTGGATGGCTTCTGAAATTGCAACTGGGATCCACTCTTGTCTCCTCCACGTCCTCCTTTCCCTTCAACTGTACAGCATCTGTTTTAGAAGGACAGGCATCTATTTAGATGTCTGCTGGCATCTGACTCAATATGCCAAAAATGGGACTCAACTTCATCTTCCAGAATCACCATTTCCCCGTCTCCGCCTCCATCTATGTATTGGTGGTGCCACTAACCCTCAAGCTCTTTCTGTTGCTTTACTTTAGGTTTTACATCAGCTTTAAAATGATTTTTTAAAAAATTTTAGTTTCATCGGTCCCCAAAGTCTGCTCTGTAATATCTTTCGGCTTCACTGAAGCCTCGGTTTTCCCATCTCCCCACCACCACATTTCCAGCACTCTGTACTTCATGTCCCAGCTGCTCAAATAGGTATCGACCTGCCTTCCTCGCTTATAGCATCAGGTTTTATATTTTTTATTATGTAACTAGATCCTTCTTATAGAACAATGATTCTCGACTAGCATGCCACCCAGTATTGATTAATGCATAACCTGTTTTTATTCCTTTTAGAATTCTAGATTCAAACACTCTCTCAGGTGAAATGTTAAGTTCTGAAGGTTATGCCACAAAGGCAGGACTGTGCTGAGCGTGAGCAGCAAACTAGGACGAGAGCCAGTCCGGGACTTCCTGGGACAGGTGTGGCCGTGGGCGCGAGGAGAGGCTGGAATGGGAGATGTTCATCTGGCTGTCCTTGTTCCATGGGGTCCTAATTCATCCAGGGATAACGCTACAGGAGTGGGAGGCCCAACTGCCTGGAGGAATCAGGAAGTTAACGGGATCAAGGGAAGGTGGCTTTTAAGTAAAGATGAACTTGGAGGTGCCCTGATTAAGGAAGGAATGCTGTCAACACCAGCAAGCTATGGGCACATGGGAACATGGGTCTGGTATGGTGAGATGCTCCAATTTTCCAAAAGAAGCCATGAATGGATATTTTAGTTACAAAATTAAAATGTGGAAGCTTTTTTTTTTTTGTAATACACTGACATTATATCAGAGCACTTCTGTGGGCCAGATCCTGCTTGCGGGCTGCTCAGATCTTGAGATCTCCGGGTCTATAGAGATAAGAAGAGACGGGAACCCAGGACAGAGTCCCCGGGAGCCATGACATCCACGGAAGCGCAGGGGAAAAGCACGGTCCCCGAGAAGGAGGGGCCTGCCGCCCGGTGGCCCAGCTCGGACCAGGGGTGCGTCTCTAGGGCTCCGAGCTTCTGTCTATCACCCGGCACGGACCAGGGGCGCGTCTCTAGGGCTCCGAGCTTCTGTCTCCATCACCGTCAGGAACACAACAACAACGACGGCCGTATCACCAGCCAAGACAGCCATTCTCTGAAAAGGGAAGATGTCAATACAACTCCATTGCAAACTTGAAAATAAAGGAAGCTAGAATCAGAGGATCTGGTCCACTCCTGCAGCGCAGCCACGGCGAGCTAAAGACAGTGGAGGCGAGGGGTGGGCGGCCGGGAGAGACGCGAGGGCTCTCAGAGGGCCTGCTGATGCAGGACAGGAGAGCGCCGAGGCCGGCAAGAGACGCGAACGTACAGAGACAGACAGACAGACAGACAGAGGGTATGCCACTGAAGAGACACAGACCCTGCGGAATCCTAGCTGACAGTAAATGAGCGCTTCCTACAGGCCGACGGCCCAAGAACTTTCTCTCTCTAACTCAATCTTCACGAAACCCCAAGAGAAAGGTACTGTGTTTACACCCGCTTTCAGATGTGGTGGCTCAGTGTAAAGAATCTGCCTGCCAACGCAGAAGAGGTGGGTTCGATCCCTGGCTCAGGAAGGTCTCCTGGAGAAGGGAATGGCAACTCATTCCAGTATTGTCGCCTGGGAAATCCCAGGGACAGAGGAGCCTGGTGGGCTACAGTGCATGGGGTCGCAAAGAGTTGACACACACTTTCCCTTTAAGATGTGGAAACTGAGGCACAGAGGTGTGTTTATTCCTACTTATTTATTAAAATATCTACTTATTTACTAAAAAGAGAGTTGAGAATGTGTGAAAGGAGAAGGGAGAAGTTGGGAAAAGAGAGGGTGAGAATTCAGACGTCCTTTCAAGCTCCTCCGGTTGGAAAGGGATAATGCAAGGCTACAAATTCATATCATGGGTCTTTGGGGGTGGGGGGGAGCGTAAAAATGGAGAGCTGCATTTTCTTCAGAGACTACAGGGAAAAAAGAGAAGGAAATCAATGGTATGAAATTATTGGCACACAGGGAAGTTGAAGGAAGAGACTTCACAGCCCCTTCGCTTTTGTTTCTGAAATAAATCACGCTGGACATGGGGCTCTGTTACTCTTGAGGATGTGATACAGACTGTGGGTTGTGGGAGAACTTAAATTAATCATAAGACAGGTCTTGGATATCAGGGAGAGATTAATCATCTAGATATAAACCAAGGATGGATTATTTCATATCTTTGGGTTATGCTCAAATATGTATACAACCACCAGAACACTGAAGCCATATGGAACCCTTTCTGTGCACCTGGCAACAGCCTTCCCGAAAGCGATGCTCTGAAGTCATCGTCTCTACTGCTGACGCCGGAGGTAACTCTCAGGACTCACCGCCTGTCTGTGCTGCCCTTTGCTTGGCCAATAGCCCTGCCCTCGTCCAGCTGGGGCTGTAAACACCCAGTCCGCCCCCTCAGGGTGACTTGTTTTTAAGAGCTGTGGAATGTGGAGTAAGAGCATGATCCTTTCATTTAAAAAAGAAAACCCCTCTATGTGGATAATTTACATTATCCAGAACAAGACAGAAAGCACAGAGGAGAAGAATTCTCTTACTCCCCTCATAAAATGGCAGCGTTTTTTCCGGCCTGGGCACTCTCAGGCTCCGAGCGACACGAGGGAGATCCTGGACTGTTTGCTGGTTTATTCTGACATTGTGGTTCTCAAATGAGTAAGTGTAAAACACAAGTTGGGAGGCTTTTAGAAATTCAGATGTTCAGGTCCCACCACTAGAATTTCTGATTGAGTAAGCCTGAGACAACGCCTAAAAAAAAATCTACATTTTAATCAAGCTCCCCAGGTGGGCCTTAAATTATGTTTCTAAAAACACTCTTCCACATGTCCTGAGGCATAAGAACTTTTATCCTGAATTGTGCTGGTAGGAGGTGAAGAGCCAGGCTTTGAGAAATTAGCGTTTGCAAAAGCCATGCTGAAGGACAGCGGAGACTCAGGGGTCAGTAGGAGAGGAGAGTTTTTAAAAGTCTTTCCTTTCATGAACTTAGAAGAATTCAAACCAACAAATAATCGATGGGGGTACCCGACACGCCAGCGATGAAGAGGCAGCTCACCCAGCCGTGATCTGTGGGAGGGTATGTGGTTCGTGCGTGCACACACACACACTCTTACACACACAGACACACACACATGAACTCAGCCTCAGCTTTTCGGCTGATTGCCTTTTAGAACTCTGTCCTACTGTCCAGATTTGTCATGTGACTGGTCCAGAAACTGTAACCAGTGAAAGCATTTAACAAAGGGAAGTGAGACGGACGTACAAACTAAATCTGCAGAGAAGGAAGAGACCCTCAGACTAGAGACACTAATCACAGCCAGCGTGAATCCCAGTAAGACCCCGGTACGGTAGATCCCACTCTTACAGGTGAAGAAGCTGAGGCACACGCAGGTTGAAGTGACTTGTCCGAGGTCGTTAGCTAGCACATAGTGGAGAAGGAACTGAACCTAGTAGAGCTTCCAAGTCCATGTTCTCAACCACAATGATGTATCAAAGGGTTCTAAAAATGAGTGCAGTGGGACTGGATCTTGAAGACAGGGTGAATTTGGGCAGATGGCGACCTGTGGGAAGAGGGTCAAGTCACTTGAGGATCTACAGTGCAGGTCCTGTTGAGGCTTCAGGGACATCACAGAGGACAGCACCTCGAAGGCAGAAGGAACAGGGAAGACCCAGGGAGACACTGCTCCTGGGATGTTACAGAAAGTGTGAAAGAGCAGATGGCGATGGTACCCGCGGACGGTACATGGATAGAGGAGATTAGACCAAGGTCCTTGGGTGCTTGAGGGAGACAATTTTTCTGTATGCATCAAAGTATCTTTAAAGCGCCGGCTCTCAAGAGGCCCCTTGGGGGACATTTGGGAATATCTGGAGTCATTTTCGGCCAAAACAGTGGTGAGGGATGTTACTGGCATCTGTTGAGTGGAGACCAGCATGAGCACGTGCTCAGATGCTTCAGTCGTGTCCAACTCTCGCGACCCCAGGGACTGTAGCCCGCCAGGCTCCTCTGTCCATGGGGTTCTCCAGGCAAGAATACCAGGATGGATTTCCATGCCCTCCTCCAGGGGACCTTCCTGACCCAGGAGTCGAACCCTTGTCTCCTGTGTCTCCTGCAGTGCGGGCAGATTCTTTACTGCTGAGCAGCGGGGGAGCCCCAGGGATGATGCTAAACACCCTCCAGTGCAGAGGACGCCCCCACCCCAAAGAACAGTACGCCAGTGGTGTCAAGGCAGAGAAGCTCCGCGTCAGAGGCTTTTGAGCAGGAAGTGGCAGGGCCAGAGGTGAGCGGGAAGGGCACGGCGTGTCTCGCGAGGCCGCGGCAATGGCCTGGCCCTGAAGAGCACCCCCACATCATCCCTCGGTCCTCGGGCCCTGCTTCATTAACTCGCTCTTCCCGGGGCAACTATACTTTGAATATTGCATCTTAGGACATAGAAATCTTTAACTAAATGTGACTTTGTCCTTCTGCATTAGAACATTATTATTCTGCTGGAGCCAAGAATTAACCTTTGTTTAATAAGAGCCCTTCCCTGGGGAGGAGCTGGGCCTTCCCTCTCCTTGAAGCAGTCTCTGCTGGGAAGGGTGGGATTCAACTTCACCCCAAACAGGCACGGAAACACTAACGGGACCAGGCAACTGGAATTGCTCTGATGCTTTGCATATTTATGTTTGAGACCTTCGTATGAACTGTTACTTTAAAAAAGAAGGATCAGTTCATCTTTAAAAGGAGGTGATTGATCGCTGCCAGTCGGGCATTTCTTCATTCTTGGCTTCCTCTTAGCCTCTGTAATAAGTTCTTCACGAACACCAGTCTGCTATTAAAGAATGGTATTCATCATAAGCCAAGCAGGGAGAAGGCAGCATTTGATGGGCACAATACCATATTTCAATCCACAGTGTCCTTTTTGTTCAACTCGATCTGCTGCGTCGTTAACGTTTGAGGAAAAAACCACACAAAGACTTTGGTAAATATTAATCAGCAGTGCACAGCCCCTTTCCCAACTCGATTACCCATTACTGGGCACTCCAGGTGATAATGTCCCACTAAACCTCCTATTTGCTTAAAATGCAAGTGAAAAGTACTTTCAGCAGATCGCGTGCCGCGCTCTCTGCAGACTAAGTGGTCTGTAGCAGTGGGGAAACCCTCTTCCTCTCTCTCCCCATCATCCTTTCTCCCAGCCCTCCAGTGTCTGGGTGTGTGTCCAGCCTCCCGGCTCCTCACTGCCGTCCTGAGGGGTCATAACTTCAGCGAGGCGTCCGGATGAGCTGAGACCTGGAGAAGGAGCCCCACACGTGCGCGGTGGGTCCCCGGATCAGGGCACCTCTGTAGGGTGCGATCTCTTTGAACTCAGAAGTCCATTTCCTCCCACTTCAGATCTTATCAGACCATGCAAATTGCCATCAACCTTTCCACACCGGCTGAAGCAGGTCTAAGTCATGGTCTTCCTTATTATCAGCGAAGTGATTAAAAGTCCATCAGATCAACTGGGCTCTGACACAACATTAAAAATGTTCTTGGGTGAAATCTGTTTCTCCACTCCTCTAACTGGTGTAAGTTCAAAGAGGCTCATAATGAAATCTTGTCCCATCCGTGTCAGCTCCTCAAGTTAACAATGAATATTAAAATCTAGGTGGCAAGAGCGGGACTCATCACAGGACATCAAAATCTGAACCCAAAAGGCCGTGCTACTGAGAGCAGCTACTTCATACAAACAGCAAATATTCAATCTGACTGTGAAGAGGTAAGGGGCAAGGCTTCATCACACACTTCCTGGAGGTCGGGTCAATCTCCCTATGAGCCTGGAATTAGCAGCAGCAGAATGAAGTGAGATGGTTTTTAGGTGAGCTGCTAACTCAAGTTATTTGACAATTCCATCCCTGTTTCAAAAACCAGGGTGACTCACCCTGGTTTTTCTACAAATTGAACAAAATGTTTTCCCCAAAACAATTTCTTCTTTGTTTCTGTATGACATTATGTCTTTTCTCTATAAAAGTAACAGTGCACAGATATGTATGAGGCACTTGGCACATTTTAATTTTGTGAAAGATGCATCTATGAGCTGTCCCCTAAACACACCATCAGAGATTCTTTTTGTTTTGTTTTGTTCTTAGTGACACAGCCTTGGTGCTCTCCTATGTGCTGAGTACTTGAGAAATAAAGAGGTAGAACCAAAAGATGCCCTGTTTTGCTGCGATACAGACAAATCAAACCAACAAAAGAAGTATGTTTTTCAATATACTCGGGAGGTATAATTCTTGCACAATAGTTTGTTTTTAGGTTACTTTTTCTACTCTTAAATACAGGAAATTAGACCTTCTATACCAGGGCTTTGAACTTCTTTTGTACTTGATTCACCATAAGAAGCACATTTGATGTTATGAGCCAGTACGCATATGTTTATATGTATAAAGAAATAGCTATTTAAAAAACAGCATTTCCCTTGCTATACGAAAAGTACTCATATGTATTCTGTTTTTTTTTAAAAGTGCTGGTCATAACACACAATATTGATTCCACTGATTGATCTTGATCCACAATTTGAAAAACCATGTTCTACCCTAAAATATATGAGCTGTTCAATGCAAAACCCAAGAGGTATTCTTCGTTCTAGCATAATGACTTTTTAACAGATTGATTAACCCTGACGGGGTTGCGGGGGGTCCCCTTATGAAGGAAGGGGATGATCTGAACAGGTTATTAACTACCATGAACCAAGATTTAAAAACGCTAGTGCAGGCTGAAACCTGTTTCAGTGAAGAAAGTGTAAAACATCCCTTTGGTTTTATACAGGCTGTTTCTACTGTCAGGGATACCAATCACTGTTCATGGTTTCAGGACAGTGGTTTCGTTTATTCCTTCCTTCGTCCCTTAGTACCTGCCTCCCTTCCTGCCTTCTTTCTTTCTTCATTTCCTTCTTTTGGTTCCTTTTAAGTCAAGCTGTGCCTCCATGACAAAAGTGAAAAAGAGCGTTAACTGTCTGAACGTTCCCAAATGTCCGATGCCTCGGCATCGTGCGGCAGACGTGATGACTGTCCCTCCTGCCCTCCCGAGTCACCTCTCCTGCATCTGTTTGGCAAGTTTCACAGAGCCTCAGGTAGGGGGATTCCGACGATGTTTCTTGAGCTAAAGCTGAACACATATTGTCCATTATTTATCTAATATAGGAAATCATTTCCCATCAAAATGCAATCCTTGAGGGAAATTTCTCATTGCCTGGAAGGTTAGCTTCTGGAAAGTCGCCATAACACCATTAGGTATTGAATAGAATTTGGGATAAAGTAGATTCGTCTTGGAAAGCAGCCAAAAGATTTATTTATTGTTGCAAAAAGATGCCTTCATGGGGATATTCCAACAATGAGGGCAACTTTCTAATGAGGTTCTGAAAGAGGTCATTTTAAAACAAAATAAAATGGTAATAGCTTCAAAATAGTAATCAATATTCATATATCTAGTTTACACATTTGACTTTTACTTTTCCATGTAAGATGAAATACTTGAATCTCATCACAGATATGACCTCTATAGGAAATTCAATGGGAAAACTATTTGAAACTCCATATTGCCAACAAATTGAAGCTCAATTCTTATATCAAATTACAAAGTATATTAGCAAAAACAAACTGAAAAAAGAGAGATGATTACAATATCATTCAGCAGAAGATAACAAAAAAGAGGAAGAAAGTCAACTGAACTGTGCTACTGAACCTCTCAGAGGTGAGGTGCTGCGCTTTCTACAAACTCTCAGAAAGTTTAAAACTCAAGAATGGAGAGATTGGGTTAAATGAAAGATCTGCCTTAATTGTAGACTTTGAACATGAAGAATACAGATATTTAAAACGCAGAACATTTTCCTGGTTTCTACCAAGGAGAATGATGAGGTATTAAAAGTCCTAAAGAACATTGGCTCTCCCAGAGATTTGCAAGGCAGTAAGGAATAAATTGAGGCAAGTGATAAGAAAAATCACCCCCTCCTTTTTTTTCATTATTAATGACCAAATATTATTAAATCAATAATTTTGGGGATGATCTGAACAGGTTATTAACTATCATGAATTATTAACCTAAAAGTTGATCAGAGCGATGAAAATAAGTCAAATTAATGGGGATCTCTGGATTTCTAATGAAATATCCAGTCATTGACAAAACATCTCTGTTAGGATTTTTGGAACATGAAAAAGCAGAGACCACAAATGTCCTTACGGAAGAGAACAACAACATTCCTTGCTGAATTACAGGAAATTAAAAAAGCAGATATCCAGGGTCACAATAATGGGAGATTAAATAGACGAGGTGAAAGCTGCCAATGGCTGTGGGGGATGCATTGCCCTCCCTGTCCGCCCCCAACTAATATTGCACCAGTTGTTTCAGGAACCTCAAAAAATTGGGAAACAGCCACGGATTTGTCAATCCTGGGTGTGCCTCAGGCAAGGGGAGTTGGGCATAAAGCAATTAGTCAGTGGCTCTTGGCCAGGAGTGCTATCTGTTCCAACTACTCTGCCTTCAGCAAGGTGTGTGTGGATGAGTCTTTTGTCCAGAGGTTTTACAAGAAAAGGCAGTGGAATGTGATTTCACTTAGAAGGTACAGGAGACAAGAGAGGAGGGTTGGGGACGGGGTCTTGGGCAGGCACAGAAAGGTGGAGGGGCTGGACCTTTCTGGGACATCACCGTTGTCGTCCTTGGGAACGTGGACACAGACAGACCGTGGAGCCCGGCTGACCGAGGCTGAAGGCAGACAGATGCCCCTGCGCTCTCTGTGTGTGTATACCTTCTCCACGCCGGCTTCCTGCTCAAACAGAAACCTGCCAGAAAGCACCAGCCTGTGGTAGAATTTCCCAATAGGAAAGTGACTCCATAACGGAAGAGTTCAATGACGTGGGCTTTTTTTTAACCATTTAGGTGCAGTGTGAGTCCTGATGCTCATGGGGCAGAGAAAGTCACAGTCAACACGGGGTCAGACTTTTGTAGACCGGGCAGGTGGGTCAGAACCCCGGAGGTACCTGATCTCCAGAGGGAGTGACCACATGCGCTTTCGAAGGCGGCTGTGGGCTGGATTTTAATCACTAACTTCCATGCCAAGCACTGAGTTCATTCACTTGGTGAATACCGAGTGGCTTCCCTCGGCATCCCCTTCGCTGCTCTTGCGGAGAGATGTCTGCTGTCACGGCCTTTACGGACGCATCAGGGGAAATAACAATAAACATGTGGACAAAAACTACACACTATATCTTCAGGTATTCGAGAGTACTGTGAAGAAGATGAAACTATGAGGCTGTGACAGCAAGTGATCTGAAGGGGGTACGTCTTTTACTTCAGATGTGGAAGATGAGGCTTCCTGCTGGAGATCAAGGCTGAGCTGGGACTTGGAGAGCTGACCAGGAAGTGGGTGGACGATTCAAGAAGAGAGAATTGCAAAAGTCAAGGCTCTCCATAGATGGTGGCCAATGACGATCATAGGCTTCCCGGGGGCCTCAACGGTGAAGAACTTGCCTGCCAAGCAAGAGACGTGGGTTTGATCCCCGGGTCAGGAAGATCCCCTGGAGGTGGAAATGGCAACCCACTCCAGTGTTCTTGCCTGGGGAATCCCGGGGACAGAGGAGCCTGGTGGGCTCACATAATCCACGGGGTCACAAAAGAGTCGGACAAAGCGGAGCAGCTGAGCAACAACGACGATAAAGATGCTAACAATGATCACGACTTCTTAAACGGTTCAGTCGGGAGCTGAGTTGCTCAAGACCAGCTCCTACAGAAAACCCGCCTTTGAGGAGCGCAGTCACACCACTCACACCTTGCCCTCCCTCAACGGGCTCGCGTCCTCTCTCTTCCAGCTGGTGCTGCGCCCAGCATTTCATCCCTTCTCAGACTCCTTGCAGAGGGGCTTGCCACCCATTTACCCCCCAAGACTAGAACTATTTGTACAAGTACGAGATGGCATTGGAGGCGGTCCAGGCACACAGGCGGAGACTCATTGCCAGTTAAATCATGCTAAGACATAACAGTAAGTAAATATGCCCGAAAAGGGGGTTTTAGTCATCCAAGGACACAGAAAAACCACAACCCTGGCCTCAAAACTGCATTCCTCATATATCTTAACTCATGTTCTTATGCTATAGGATAAACCAAATAAATCAAGAGCCTCTTGGGATAGATCGAGAATAAGCCTGCAATAAATTCCATTAAACTTACTTGTCAGTGCCTTGCCTGGAAACTTCACTTCTTTTGGAAATTAAAAAATATTATTGAATGCTGTGGTGATGTGGCAGGAATTGAGAAGGAAATTCTCTCCAGAATGTCTACCTAATTTTGGAGGAGGTTAAATAATTGGAGACAATTGAGTTTTGTGGAGATCTGTCACATGTTGGATTCAAATAGGATAAAAAGAACTTCCTTTTCTGCACGTGACACATTTACAATTTTATTAACTTAAAAGTGGTATGCAGCTGCTCATCTTTGTCTTCTTTAGTTCCTGAATTACTAATTGCTAACACAAGGCACAAAGCAAGTACTCAATAAATATTAGTTGAATAAATGAGAATGGATAAAATGGCTTAGAATCCTGTAAATTCATTGTATGTGGTAGCTATGTTTTTTTGAGCATTTCCTGTGTTAAATGTTTGATATAGATTATCTAATTTATTGCCTTAAAAGTAGATTTTACTCTATTTTGCAGATGAGTGAGCTGAATCTGAGTGATGTTCGACAGTCAACCAGTATTTATTAAGCTCTGACTTTGTGCCAGGCGCACATAGCTAGTCAGTAGCTATTCCAGCTTGTCTGACTCCAGATTCTCTGCTCCTAACCACAATATTCTGCTGGTTCTGAATGGGCGATGCTGGAAGCCGAGTTTACCAGACTCTTAATCTGACGTAACTTCCCACCGATTCCAAGGAACAGCAATGTCAGGCGAACACGGGACTATGAAGGATTCTCACGGTACAGCTTCACATCATCAGCAGTCTCCTATTTCTGCACGTCCATGAACGTGCACCTACAAAGCATGGTCTGGTCTATGTTTTTCATTAAACCTAACAAGCATTTTCATTGCAACACACAGGCCAAGCTTAAGAGCAACGATTTTCCATCTGGTAACCAGACATTAGGACACATTTTAAGCAACTAACTGGACATGCCGCACGGATCCCTTGGGCCAGATGGAAACTGGAAATAGCACAAATGAACTGGGAGGCTTGAGACAGCATTTCTGCAAGAGATAAAGGCCAAAGGAGACGAAGGCGCTCTGAGTTTCTGCTTGCTCAGGAACCTGGAGTTGCTCACAGTCATGTGGGTATTACACCAGGCCCTGGTCCAGACACCTCAACTTTTTTCCTGGTCAGATTGGGCAGCACCCCCTTATTTCTATTGGGAAAAGGATGGGACCAGTTTGGGGGAAACCGAGCATAGCAAGAGAATTGTTACTGCCCCCAGAGGGTCAGCTGACGGGGCTTAAATCAATGGATTCAGCCAAGGGCACTCTGGGCAATGTCTGGAAACATTTTTGGTTGACACAACTGGGAGGTTGTGCTAGCATCTGGCATGTTGAGCCTGAGAATGCCGCTACATGCCCTACACAGCACAGGACAGCTGCCCACGGGAGAGAGGGACATGTCTTCCCCCGCCCCCATGTCACAGGGTCAAGGTCAGCAAAGCAAACCTGGCTTGAATGACGAAGATGATGCTGATAATCACGATGACACAAATAACTAAAGCTCCTGTTTATTGAATGACCACCTCAAGCCCGCCTCTTATTTACTTCATTGTCTATTTATTTACTATTCAACTTACCATTACTATTTAAGTCTTATACTAACTCCCAAACTGTTTATGAGGTTCTCAAGGCAAGAATACCGAAATGGTTTGCCATTCCTAATCTTCTCCAGCAAGGAGATCAAACCAGTCAATCCTAAGGGAAATCAACCCTGAATACATTTTGGAATGACTGATGTTGAAGCTGAAGCTCCAATACTTTGGCCACCTGATGCCAAGAGAGGATTCACTGGAAAACACTCTGATGCTGGGAAAGATTAAGGGCAGGAAGAGAATGGGGTGACAGAGGATGAGATGGTTGGATGGCATCATCAATTCAATGGACATGAATTGGAGCAAACTCCAGAAGATAGTGAAGGACAGGGAAGCCTGGCTTGTTGCAGTCCATGCAGTCACAAAGAGTCAGACACAACTTCACAACTGAACAATAATTAACTCCCAATTGTTCTACGGAGGGAAGAAAACTCCAGACTCTTGAGATATTAAGCAACTTGCTCAAGGTCCAGACCAAGAATGTGCCAAAACTGGGATTCAAACCTGGAACTACATGACCCCAGCACACTTAAACCCTGGACCACACAGCCTGAGTTTCTTTTGCGGCTAGGTTTGGGCAGATCACTGAGTTCTGAAAACCTTCCCCAGGCTTATCTGGAGAGAGCACAAGAAGTTTCCTCCGCTGAAAGTCTGTCCATCAGAGCCCTAGAAACTGTTCTTTCTCCCTTTCATATCTTTTCCCTGGGGGATGAAGTAATCACCCTACTCTCATATGATAACCAATACATGGTGATTCTCACCCTGGGGTGATTGTGGCTTCCAGGGGACATCTCCAATTGTCACAACTTGAGGTGAGGGGACAGGGAGACACTACTGAACTTCCAGGTTTGAATCCCTGGAATTTTGGTGCATTCTTGCTACGTGATCTTGGGCAAGCTACTTAATAACTCAGACAGCTGAGGAGGCCAGCAGAGAGAGAGGCCAGGGATGTTGCTGATGATTTTACACTGCACAGGAGAGACCCCACAGTACAGGTTTCAGCCTCAAATGTCAATAGCGCCCAGGTCAAGAAACCCTGAAGTAGAAGCAAAGTGGAAAATCAAGAGTTGGTGAGAAAGCTAGCTTTTTATATGGTAAAACTTATTGTTGCTGCTTTCTATGTCACCCCTTAATTCTGCTTCTGATCTTGTTTCAGGACCCCCACTCAGAGCCCATGGAACTCTGCAGGAGCTGGAAGCTCCCCTGCATCGCCAGGGAAGACATGGTCCAGACCTGACTTATCAGAGCAGCCTATTTATCTGGCAAAAGTGGTTGGCTGGCTCTGACACCAGCGCCGCCAATCTGATGCCACGGGATGTTGACTGAAACTTCTAAGGGAGGCCAGATCCTTGAAGCTAGACGAACTCCAGGGGCCAAGGAAGGTGGGGCTGTTGGGGGCCACCTGGTCACCATGCGGAGAGGGACCGCCCCAATATGGAGCCAACACTGCAGAAGCGGACCAGAGAAATAGCCAGAGGGAACTAAGCATTTGTGATATAATTTGAGGCCTTGAACTAGCAATACCTGAAGTCAGCTATCCTGGACTTTTGACATACAAGCCAGTAAGCTGTCCAGTGATTTAAGCCATTCGGAGTTGCATTTTTCTGCCCCCCCCCCCCCCCCGCAACTGGAAGAGGCCCAGCTGATATCTTTTCCTTTGAGGTCTTGATAACACAAATGACTTTCATTGAAAAACAAAGAGATGTCTGAAAATTCCTTTGCATTCTCTACAAGAGATTTCATAATGTAATATGTAAATCTGGGGAAAACTCTGGAAGGCAGAATTTTCCTGACAAAGGATATCTAACAGAACAGCCACTGGCTATTCATAACACGAGAAAAAGCTGGCAGCCCTGATTTCTGGAAGTCAGGTACAGAGAGCTGTAGGTTTCATCTATCTTGTCAAGAGTCTAGGTGCGCTGGGAGAGCAGGAGCGTTTCTGACGCCTGTTATAATGACATCCATGATGCAGGTGTACATGTCAAGCTCTCAGCCGACTCATGTGCAGTGTTAGAAAGAGGATGCTGGCAGACGCATAGCAGTGGAGGGAGAAAGCCCATGAACATGCTCGTGTAAAATGGGAATTGCACTAAAAGGATCTCCTTGGTGAAAAATGTACTGCGGCAAGTCTGGAACCCATGCAGAGGACCTTCACCCAGGTGCAGAGTCCAGGCGATGCTCAGGATGGTCACGGCAAAGACTCCCACAGCACACACCTGGAGCCACAAGCTAGGTGATCTTAGGGGGTCCTTGAGGAAGCGTGCAAGTAATCTGAACAGTTAGAAAATTGCTTTTAAAGAGAATGGAGATAAAAACATAACTAGCACATCAAACAGGAGTTCAGTGACTTTTATTGCTGAGTACAGGAGTCAGCAAATGTTTTCTGTAAAGAACCAAACAGTAAATATTTTTAGATCTGTGAGCCAGCCAGTCTCTATTCAACTACTTAATTCTGTCCTTGCAGTGTGAAGGCATCCTTACTGAAGACAGTAATGAATGGGCATGGCTGTGTTCCAATCAAAATTTGTTTACAAAAAAAAACCCCATTTAATTCAGGTGGTGCATAGATCCGATTAAAGTCATACAGTAGGTTGAAGAGAGTTGAAAACTGGTGAACTCTGTATGGGATCCTGCACTTTCAGTGCTATTCATGATGGTGATAATAAATAATAATAATAATAATCTTTGAACCATTTATTCTTCATTTATGTGTGCTTTTGGAACGTCTATATGTGCCGGAACACTGTACAAGACACCATGAGCCAATTGTGAATACGACAGGCACGATCTGTCCCTGACAATTTTGCTGAGAGCTATGAAAGAAAAGGTTACTGGTAGGAGAGTAGTGGAAGCGTCTCTGAGGAAGTAACAGAAATAAACAACTGAAGGAAGAAACCAGTCTTGAGAAAAGCTGGGCGACTCGCGTTCTTGAGAGGAGGAGACAGCTCGGGCCCCTGCTCTGAGGCGTGAAAGAGCTCCAGGCTCCAGGGGTGACTGGAGCCCCTCTGGGGAGGCAGGGGACAGGAGGGCCCGCCTGCCGGGAGAGGAGCCACGACGGAGACGGGGAAGACACGGGGGCGCCCGGGAAGCGTCAGCACAGGACAGGCGGAGGCCACGTCGCGTTAAGGCTGCGCCCACTTCTCCGGGCCAGTGGACTGCTGGGGGCGGAACGACAGCAGTCTTTCCCGCGGCGGCCCCGAGAGCCCAGCAGCAAGAGCCTCTGGCACGGGAGGAGAACCTCCTGCGCCAGGCCCAAGCTGCTCCGAGCATCACTCACCGGGGGTGACCCGCTGGGGGCGGGCTATACTGATCTCCCTTTTACAAAAGCAGAACCTGAAGACCCGAGAGGCGCAGTAAGACAACCAGGTTCCTATCGGTGGGGAGAATCAGAGCCCTGACGTGGCCCAGGGTTGCATGATGCCAAGGGTCAAGCTCTTATACTGAATATCTTAGGGGTTGGCAAACTACCACCCAGGGACCAAATCTGGGCCTCGACTTGTTTTATTAAGTTTTATGGAAAAACGGCCATAGCCATTTGTTTACATAGTCTATAGCTGCTTTCCAGTTGACTAATTGCTACAAAGGTCTTAAGACCTGCAAAGCCAAAATTAGGTACTATCTAGCTCTCTACAAAAAAGCTGGCCAAACCCTGATCTAAGCTATGGGCTTCCCTTGTGGCTCAGATGGTAAAGAATCTACCTGCAATGCAGGAGACCTGGGTTCAATCCCTGGGTCTGGAAGATCTCCTGGAGGAGGGCATGGCAACCCACTCCAGCGTTCTTGCCCGGAGAATCGCCATGGACAGAGGAGCCTGGGGTGCTATAGACATTGGGGTCGCAAAGAGTTGGACACCACTGAACAACTAAGCACAGCATGGGTCTAAGCTATGAGGGCATGAAGTTCATTCTTGCTAGTAGACTGTCCAAAATGAAAAAGATGCGTCTAAGACACTTTTTCATCAGCTTTACTCTGCCAGAATATTTTTGCCCCTACTTCTAGATCCTTTTCCCATTCTGTTCTTATGCAGCATTTTATTTTATTTATTTTTTTGAACATTTGATGTTTTATTTTATTTTTTTTTATTTTGCCCCTAGGAGTTAAAGGTGGTTTTTTTAAAAATACAGTGATATACAAATCACAACAAAGAGAGAAATATTTTTTAAAAGTTTTTCAGAAGGAACTAATGACATAGCATGTGATCATCTGTTCCTACAAGGGAATAGAGTTTCCTTTTCCCTATGGTTAACGTTTATCCTCCTGGGGATGCCTCGTGTGTTAGGCTGTCTTGAGGGAGAACTAGACTAGCAACCCACACACTTTCTTTGTCAAACAGATCAGAATCAACCACGAACAGGGATGCACGCTGACTGACGGAATGCCATCTGGCAGTGAGAGCTGAGGTGGGGAGCGAGTCCTGGGTTTGAATTCCAGCTGAAATCTCAGGCGGTGTTTTCCTGACTCAGTTTACACATCAACACTACGAGAATGGTAACTAGCGTGGCTGCCAGTTCTATTAAGGTCCCTCCACATAGAATTAGAATTGACGTCAAAAGGCCCTCCCCTGGTGAACCAACAGAAGCACCATTTTTTAGCATACTCTCTGAACGTCAGCTACACGATAATGAAGTGTTTTATCCACATTAGCTGGAAATCTCATGAAGAGTGCCTCATCTCCTCCTGGAAAGGGAGTTGTGATGTTTTTGCTTTTGTGGAAATTCAAGTTAAGGGAATGGATGGATCATCCAAAGAATGGGTTTGCTTAAATAATGATAAAATGAGAATATGGATGATTTCAGAAGTAGGTAAATGTTTTAAAATGACTTAAGCCATCTTCTGAGCAAAGCAACTTGAATCTATGGCTCTGCTCATCAGATAAAACCTGGGAGGGAGATGAACTTAAGACACATGCCAGATGACGATACACATTCTTGCAGGGGTCTGGGTCTAGCAAACCTCAGCATCTCTGCCCTGCCTTCATCAATGCTGCCATGATAGACACACCTCTTGTACTATTA